TTTTTAATATAAGATTTTTGAGGATAGGTGTGATAGTGACTATAGATAGATTGTGACTATATAGGATAGTTTTTAATAATAAAGTGTTTTGAACATTCAACTGGTGTGACTATATAGTAGAATGTGACTATAACGGGAGTGATTATAGAGGGAGTTGACTGTATACATATAATATCTTCGACTTGATAATTAGGTGCATTCCAACGTCCTCTATGCCCATGTTCGACACAAGATTGCTTTATATTTTCATGTACACTAGCCGGAGTAGGATGCCAATCATTGATCTTGTTGGCAAGTTTGCCTCCGGCATGATTAGCACCAAACACCTGTTCTGCTAACTCAACTATTTTAAGCGATTCTAGGGACTCCCGCTTTTTTTCTTCATTAATTATTTCTTTCCGAAATTGCCAGTCTACCGCATCTTCAAATAATTCCTTACATGCTTTTATAATATCTGTATGCTTTATCCATGTTCTAAATGTACGACCATCTTCTAGAACAAATTGGGATATTGATTGGATTTCTTCTAATGTTTCTCCTTTTCCGAGTCCAAGTCCAATAAGCCATATTGCTTGTGGTCCTTGAAGAGTTTTATTAATAGCCTTCCATGCATTATCATTATAATACTCTACCATTCGATCTCTTGGAAAGTGATGGTTTCTTGGGAATGCATGGCCGTTGTGGACTACCATTTCTATCTCTTCAAACCTACCTGTTCAATATTTTCCGCTATTAAAGATAGTGCCATGAGTAATGTCAAGTAATTTAATTGGCCTCTTAAGTATCTTTTCCAATTCTGCTACATCCTCTACCTGAGCACCAGGTTGGCGCATTCTTTTTTCCCATGTGCCAATTTTTTGCTTACGTGTACTGGTAAGCCCATATCCTCTTTTTGCTTTTTCAAAATGCTCTATTACTCGCAGGGCTATACAGTTAAGTGTACCATCCTTCATAAGCATTAATCGTTTACTATCTGGCTCCCGGATTCGATACAACCCATATACAACTGCATTTGCATCAAGTTCTATATATTCTGATTGTTTTTCACCTTGAATGATCTTAACTAAAAATTTCTCATCAATTCCTACCCAGAAGCCTGGCTTTGTTTTCTTTGTAAGGATAACATTTGGACCTCCTGGAATGAATTTCTTACCAGCTTTCTTTGATTCTCGAATAGGCTGGTATTTATCAACGATTTTAAATGCATAGTTATGCCTTCCATCATAGGAAGAATTATCTCTAACAAATTTTACTCTTATAAGAAACCTATTATCATCTATTGCATCTAAAATCTTCTTAGCATGCTCTTTAGTCATCCCAGCTTCATACATTTCTGCTGACTCAAAATGTTCTTCTATAAATGCTATCCATTCTGGACTTCCTTTGTCTTCTGCCTTGTATTCCCGTATTAATGACTCAATCTTTTCTGAAATCACCCACCCCACCGCACAACCCCTTTGTAAATATACCTCTTTTGCTTTCTTTGCTACTTCTTTTTCGCTTTTAGCAGTTAATAATATATTTATGAAGTCCTTTTTCAGAATACCTGCAAACCAGGTCGAAAATGTATATTCAGCACCATCTACTTTAAACATGTCTTTTGCTGTCTGAATTCCTTTTTGCCACACTTTCTGATGGCATTCTTTATCTGGAAATGGAACCGACCAGGGCACTTTTTTATCTAAGTCCTTGGGATCATCTTCAAACCCATCCTTTTGGTCAATAATCTCAGGAGCTTTTTTTCTTTGTTCTTCTCTATAAGCTTTAGTTGCTGGGCCTGGTCCGGCTTCAGAGTCTTCTACTAGTTGAAAAACTTGGGCTTTCTTTCGCCGTTTATTAGAAGACTTTCTTTCAGCTTGGCGCTCTATCAAATCAAACCATTCTGCATCTGTTTTGGGAACCTTTTTATTAATAATGATTGGGTTATTTTTTATTTCAGGATTCGCAAGCCAGTTAGCCAAATCCTCTATAGATAAATGCGTTGCTTGGCCTTTTTTAGACCTTTCCTTTTCACGAACATGGACTACAGGAAATGGAAGATTGGGTGTCAGTGATTGAGGACTGGATATATTAGGGTAAGGTGGCTGAACCGAGTTAGGTATTTGGGTTTGCACAGGTCAAAATCGAGGCTATCGGTTGCATATCGGGTACCAGATATATGTAGGATAT